AAAAAAAAAAAAAAAAAAAAAGATCTCACATATATGTAAATATTTCACATTCTGGGGGAAAAAAATCAAATCTAAAATATTTCTGGTCCCAAGAATTTCAGAAATTAGAGACGCAACCTGTACTTTGTTGCCCTAGGAGACTAAAACATACCCAATGCTCAAGGATGACAATTTTAAAGCAAACTGAGACTTAACCAAAAAATGTGTAGATCCAAGAAGTCCACAACAATCTACCAGTTTGCCCCAGCGCCCAAGGATTGAACACAGTATTATATATTGTACTGGTAAAATGATTACTTTCCTGAAAGTGATTTTCTTCTCTAAACAAAACTTATAAGGTGGTAAATAATTAATGCAGTTTCAGTAACTAAAATTTACTATGTAGGCAAACTACTTGAGTAATATTCAAAACAATAATGTTTTCAAAATAAATATTTAAAACTTACCTTACAAAGACACCGAAGTATCCAGTGTTACAATTAAACCTATAAAATAAAAAAGTTAATTAACTGTAAATAAGATTCCCGTTGGAATGGTTACACTTTTAGAAGTGTAATATTCCTATAACAGGTATGAGAAACACAGGATGGTTTTTTATCTTGCGATTGTGTTTGGCACAATCTGAACATTTTGTACACACAATCTCTAGGGCACAGAGCCCTCACCAACTCCAACTCCATCTCTGCAGGACTCCCTTTGTAAATTTCTGGTTGTATGAGAACAATTCTGGTAAAATAGTTAAGATGACAGAACTGGTTTTTAAGTTTATGGAACTGTGTGGGCAAAGAGAACTGAAACCGCATCAGAAGTTATGGGAGTCCTGCCACACCCTACCCTGTGCCACTTCACTCCGTTACAGGCCTTTACAATGCAAGAGTTCTAACTTAACCAAAAGACGAAACTCACCAAGACATCCCCACAACGAATGTAACCATTATGTACTGTAAGCATGCACTAATAAAAAATTCTTAAATTACATAAAAACGTAAAACAACTAAAGGGCTGGGAGTGCAGCACAGCAGTAGTGGTCTTGCCTAGTACAAATGAGGCCCCGGGTTCAATCTCCAAAAAAGAAATAATGCTTTTAAAATTAGCAACACCAACTGTATGGCAACTTGGTAATATATTCTTCCCAACGTCATGAAGTAAAACACACACAATGTCATGTATGTTATATTCTTTTGCCAAAAGCCTATTTCACCCTCAGCAATTATGAGGAAACCAATTCAGAAAATGAGATATTCTAGGTAACAGACCTGAACTCTTTGTAAGAGTCAATGTCATTAAAAATGATAAAGAAAAAGGGGTTCCTAGAGATGAAAAGAGATTGACATGTTAACCACCAAATCTAGCTGGTGGCCTAGTAAGTACCTAAAATTTACCACATCTAAAATCTACTTCCTATCTCCGTCCTGACAAATTTGTTACAGTAAATAGAAATTCTTAATCTTCTCAATGTTCAACCTTGACTTTCCCGATTACCAGGACATTAGTCGCTCTGTACATTATTCCTTTACCTCAATTTTGTACAACTTTTCAAAATGGCACACTGAATTTCAGGCATGCACTGCATAACGCCACGTCAGTCAGAAACAGACCGTATATACAACGGCGGCTCTGTAAGATTACAGTGGAGCTGAAAACTTCCTATCACAGTACCCTCCGCATCACAGTGCAACACATTACCTGCATGTCTGAGGTGCTGGTGCACACATGCCTACCGCACTGCCAGCAATACAGAAAGTACACCACATACCTGTATGCACACAGAGCACTAGATCATAAATGACTCTTAGTGGTTTACTGGCTTTATTATTCCATACATTTTTTTAGAGTATACACCTTTTACTTTTTTTTTTTTTGGATCCAGGGATCAAACTCAGGTCCTTGCACTTGTGAGACCGGCAGCAGCACAACTGAGCTAAATCCCCGGTCCATGGGCTCAGTGATTCTGTTGCCTGCCTCGCAAGCACGAGGACTCCAGTTTGATCCCTGGTACCGAGAAAAAAAAGAAAGAAAAGTTGCCTATCGACCCTGCACTTGGGAGGCCAAGGCAGGAAGACCTCTGGGAGTTCTTCTAGGCCAGCCTGGGCTTCACAATGAACTCAAGGCCAGCCTGATCTACACAAAAAAAAGTTTACTAGAAAACAGGACACTGTATCACGGGGGCAGCACCCTTACACGGCCTACGTAAACGGTACCTGCGTCAAGAAGCGACAGGACTGGTCGACCACCCATGTTTGTGAGAGGACACCACACAAGGTTCAGACAACATATCCTGCTGCTAAGTGACATGTACTGTTCATCCTTGGGTGACGTGGGCTTTTTCTTTTTGTCCAGAGAAACAATAAAATAGCTTAAGAAATATCTCTGAAGATATAAAGATGAAGAGCAGCTACATTTCAGAAGGTTACTGCAGCATAGATCGAACTGGCCAGATTATTTCTCCCAAAAAATAAAAGTATAAAGAATAGCATAGCTTGGCAGGGGATTTAGCACAGCGGTTCGGTGGCCTGCCTTGCAAGCACAAGGACCCAAGTTCAATCCCTGGTTCAAAAAAAAAGAATAGCATAGCTGAATGACTGCACAGTTAGTGCAAGAGGGGCTGTGGGGCTGGGACACAACATGGGTTAAAGGCCAGTCTGTGTTCAAGCTCTCTCCCTGCCAGGCTTTGATTATACCTTCCCCGGTGACTACAGAGATAAGTATGAAGGAGGAGTTATGGAAGGAGATAAGCAATAGGGAGAAACAAGGAAGTCAGGTTTCATGTAATTCAGCAAGAAATATCCAGTCCACAGTTTTGCTTAAAGGCAACAAGAAGCAGAAGGGCAAGGTACTCAAAAGACTGCTATCACATATGGCCGGTAAGGTAAGAAGTTATCAAGGTGGAGGAAAATGAGCCAGAGTGGACACACTAAGATAACAGGACAGAAGCTTAGGCAGACTACCAGTCAAAACCACAGGGCATGAGGACATGGGGCATGAGGCTGGAGAGCCCCTACGAGAAATGATTAACATACCTAGCATGAGCGTACTTGCTCAAGAAAGCCACGTAGCAGGAAGTACATGTTATAATCAAAGGTCCAGGAAAAGTTAGATAAAATAAAAATGAAAAGCTTATTATAAATTATGGATTCAAAAAACTAAAAGCTGGGCGTGGTGGTGCACCTGTAATTCCAGCACTCGGGAGGCTGAAGCAGGAGGATCGCTAAGAGTTCAAGACCAGCCTGGGCTTCACAGTGATTCCAGGGCAGTCTGAACTACATAGTGAGACCCTGTCTCAAAAAAAAAAAAAAAATAATA